ATTTAAACAGAAGGATGGAAATCAGTGGAGGGAAATTCTCCAATAATCCACTGTCCTGTAATTTCACGATTACCCAGAGCTTTCATCCCATCTATATTTAAACTATTAGAACACTGCTTCCTTCTCAAAGGGAAAACAATTTTTTTAGATTGTGGTTTGGATGCTTAGCCCCGAGGATTTGGGCTTAGTGAAGAAAAGGAGACAGTGTGTGGTGGAAGCATTGCCCACCCAGCAGGGACGTGGCAGTATGTAAAACCTTGGGCGCAAATAGGACCTCCTGCAGCAGGGAGGTGGGGGCAAGGCCAGCTGCTGCCCCCGCCACCGGGGAGGTTGGGGAGGCAGGTGGGGAGTAGGTGACAGCCCTCCCAGGAGCGGTGTCCTGTGCCCTGTTGTCACCAGGAGCATCAGCTCCTGAACTAAGCAGTTCTTATTCAGGCTTTATTTTTTTAAATCCTCCCTCTTTGGTCTCATTATTAGAAATAGAGATCTGTATTTGATGCTGTCCCACATCCTTTAGGAGGTGGAGACGAGGTAAGGTGACACAGCTGGGGACAGGGGAGTGACCTTTCACTAGATCAGGCTCTACCTCCAGCGCTGCTTTCACTTCAGCTGGTGAGGAGCAGGCAAATCATGGAAATTTGCTTTTTCTTTATAATACTATTTTCCTTTGTGCTTTACATGTAGCAACTGGCGCACCCCGCAGATCCTTACACACCAGCCTACTAACAACCGTTTGTGCTAACACTGAGCAAACCCAGCAGAGGCGAGCGGTAGCCGTGCTGGTGCTGGGCATGCTGAACCTTTCTGAAGGCAGAAACAAAATGGGAATTTTGTACAGTTGCCACGGGATGGCGCCGGGCAGCCTGCGCACCCTACACACAGCCTGGCAGGGCTGGGGGTGAGGGGACAGCACCCGTTAACTGCTCTAAACCAGAGGAATATTTCCCATCTTGTTTCCATGCTCTGCTTCGCTTCCTGTTGTATAACCAGGCAAGTCCCTGTAGGACCATGACTCTGCACTACTCGAGTGATCTCATTAGGGAGGGGTGATTTCTTCCTTTTTTTGCCTTGACTTTTAAAGCTTCCGTCACTTGACACATGAGGAGGGAGTTGATGTCTGGAGGTAACGTGCAGCAGTCCTGGCCTGGGAGTCTCCCGGGGAGGTGGCGAGCCCAGGCCATCAGCTGGCATGCGTAGCCCTCTTCACAGGCTGGCTACAGCTGTGAGCTGGAACAACGCCATTAGTTTCCAGCCGAAGATGCTGTTACCAGAACTCCTCCACCTTGTCAATAAAAAGCTGCAAACATCTTGTCTGTTAGCAGCATGACATCATTTTCCAGGGAAGAAGCTAACGATAAAGCCTCCAGCCTGGCAATCTTATCTTTTTTTTTTTTCTTTATCCTTCTCAGGAGGGTGGGAAGAACGCCCTGAAAGCTCAGCGTGCCATGCAGTAGCCGTGCCTGGCCGTCTGCTCGCCCTGCCTTGCTTTTCCCTCCAGAGTGTGACCCTTCCTCCTGCTTTGTTGTAATTGTTCCTACTTGAAGCCTCGCTCTGACTTGTCTCGTTTCTTTTTCCAGACCCTGATTTGGATCTCCAGCAGGCCCTCCACCAGTCCATCTTCATGCCTTCCCTGGCCTCTAACCCGACCCACCGCCTCCATCTCTGCTGGGAGCAGCACTGCAAGCTCTTGCCAGAGGTCTCGGGCCTCACGGCCAAACACGTGGCCAAATGGACTGTGGAAGAGGTGAGTTACCTGTTCCCTGTTCTGCTCTTTTGGGGTGCGGGAATGACAGAGCCCTCCTCTTCTGGAGTGCTAATTGGAAGACTTGTTTATTTTTTTCCTTTCCTAGGCAATGCTTTTCTGTTTGCTTTGCATATGCCATAGCTGACTCAGCTAGAAGTTATACCCAAGTCCCTTTATAAGGGAGGGGAAGGATCCGTATTAACCCTCTGGTGTCCACGGCTTATTTCCCTGAACAGGATTCCCTCCCTTTCTTTGTTTTATTTACCACCTGATCTTTTAGTCCTCAGGCCTGAAACATAATTCTGACAGCAGTTTCCATTTCTCTCTGATCTCCCTCCCCCTCTCCTGTGACTTTGCTGCTGATTCACTTTTACATTGCAGATAATTCCAAACTGCACTGTGCATGCCCACTCCTCCTGCGTCTCCCTGGCTGATTCCCCTGGAACAAAACTGCCCACAGCCTGACCTGATTTCTGACAGGGGTGGCTGTGCAGCTGGGGATATGTCTCTGCAGTCCCAGCTCTTGAGATGTCTCCTGTAATTAGGTGGCGTGTGAAAAAGCTGGTATCTTTTGTGTGCTGAGTAGTTGGTTTTTGCCTCGATGCCTTGGGCATAAATAATATTTGTATCTCCACTTGGGAAGCTGTGACAATTTGGATCCTGATGGCACTTAATCGCAGGCCATTTAGTTCAAGAGAAATGTGCTGTAATGTTGCGCTTGCAAGGATGTAGGTAGTTTGCAAAGCAGGAAAAAGGTGCCATTCTTCATGATGCATAGAGGATCTTCAGAGACTTTTAGAAAGTGCCTTTTCCCTAAGTGCCTCTTACATCAGACAAATCCAATCTTGACTTTGCTCTTCATGCTGGAGGACTGCTTAGGAGTCTGGTGGGATTGCAGTATCACAGAAAATGGGAACCCCAGCAGTTGTGAAGGGGTTAGAGCAATTAGTGGGGCTGTTTTAAAACTTGGTCCTTTTTTGTTGGGTGGTTTTTTTTTTTTTTTTTTTGTAATGAAAATGTGTTTGAATTAAATTAATAGCAAGGAGGAAAAAACCTCTGAAAGATTTGCTGTTCGTATCATTCTTTTGAGAAAGCTTCTAATGATTTTTCCAAAAGGTCTTTTAGAAAAACAGTAAAGGCAGAAGCAGTTAATCCTCTGACATGAAAATCAGAATCTCTTTCTTTTGGATAAAACATGGAGTCCGGTTCATGGAAGAACAGAGTCGGGATACAAGCCAACTAAAATTTGTCCTTCGCAGTTGACCTTTAAAGCAACTGCTGGGTAAATTTAACTGGGATATTAGTTTGATAACAGATGAATGTAAGCAAGGACCACAGAGCATGAATGCAGGACACTGGATATAGTGATTCAAAACCCAGAATACACTGGACTGTGCTCTGCGCTGCAGCCTGAAACAGCTGATGAAGTTTCGACTGCCAATAGGAGTGTGAATGGCACATTAAAAAGATGAGTGGCAGCACCACAATGGACTGGCTAAATTCATTACAGGTTTTGTCTTGAATTTCAGTAAAGAGGATCTGGTTTTGCAAATTATGTTCATCACAAATTCCCACAGGAATCAATTTGGCCTCTGTATGAATACTTGCAGGATCAGCATGTGCAGTGAAATGTAGCCGCAGGTCTGGAAGATGAAAGCAGCAGGACTTTCTGTGTTTTAGTGAGTCCAAAGTAGATCTGATCTGTCGGCATTTGGGCTCCTAACATCTTGCTACAGGGCAAACATTTGCCTTTGGGTTGTGCTTTGAACTCTGCTGCACAAAGGAGGCCATTCTGCTGATCTGAAACAAGAGCAACGGGGGTGTAAAATTCTCCTTTGGTTTCAGACTGAAGAACTGTTTTTATTTTATAAAACCCACATTAAGGAGAAAAAAGTTGCTTTAATTCTCTGTTGGTTGAGAACAGCTGAAATGGCAGAGCAGCAGGAGTATTTAGGGGGCCTCAAGCTAAGAAACTCTTGGTAACACTGAACAGTCAACAAGGGTAGGTACTTTAATGCAGCTTTGTTATTTATTGAAAGCTTCCTGTCATGTTTTCAGAGCACAGCTAGTGAAGTATATTGAATCACAGAAGAATATTAATATGTGCTAGATTTGTATTGTTCGTTAGTTAAGCCTGCATCAGATGCTAATACCTTGTGGGGGGACTGTCCTTGTGCTAATTGCTTGTGGGTTACTAAATCCCAGTTAAACCCAGCTCCTCTCTGCGTAGTCTCACGAGGCGTTGTCAGTTCTGCTGTAGCTTGATATTAAAGGGGTGCTGTATGAGGCTACCTTCCAACTTCACCCAAGAGGTATACCAGTACTGTGCTGATTTCAGTATATCATGCACATCTGGGATTGCATCAGCATCTTCCGTATGGGTTACATGGAGTTTCTAAGATGTTCTCAGAATTACATAAAGCTCTTTTTCAACCCCCTTCCCTTTACCAATACGCAGTCATAGTGTAAGATGCTTCCACCAGATAGTTCTGTGAGCATTGAGGTTGTTATCAGTAGGAAGGGCAGGCAGGCATTCACCTCCTCAAAGGAAAAGCCCTGATCTGCTTGATCCCACTGCGCTCCTAACCTGTCTGACACGTCTCCCACTGTGATCTTGAGCCCCTCCAGCCTCACCCTTTCCCTTGGTTCAGGGCTTCATTGCCACCGTTGTGGGGCTGCGTTGGTTTCTTCTAACCCATGGTGTTACTGTGTATTGGCCTCGTGCACCCGAGCCTCCCTTGTCCCTCAGCTGCCACGTCTTGGTTTGGGGACTCTTTTCCCCCAGCAGTGATGGGCCAGGCAGGTCACTGCAGCTCAGTGGAACCCCCAGAACCGCATCCTGGGGACCTTCTTTCCTGTATTCTTCTCCTGTATCCTCCTTCCCTCTCTTTTCCTCATTTCTGGTAAACTCCAGGACTCCTGTTTGTTTAAAAGGCCACTCCTGTGGCGCAGAGTGCTTGCAGCGTAAGTACAAATGACTTCTGGGACAGATCAAAGGCTCGTCACTCAGTGTCCGTGACAATAGCCAGCAGCAATTGTGCAGGGAAGGACACAGGAGCAAGGCGAGCTTAGATCATTCCCTGGAGATTTCTACCAGCCTCTCAATACCATAGGCACTAAAAAGCACTTACCATCTTGCCCCCAGGGGTCCAACTGTCTCTTAAATTCTGGAATTTACCAGACCCTGCAGAAGGATTTTCATTTGTGTTTTAATTATAAGGGGGTGTCGGGGCGGGGTTCAAAGGGAAAGTAGTATTTTATTTGTTTATAACAGGAGTTTGCACTTCTACAGAAGAAAATTTGGAGACACTGCCTGATGGAGATGTGGATTTTAGGGGGTTCCCTTTAAAATGGAGCTGTCCCTACTAGCAGAAGATAAGGGCGAAACATGAGAGGGATGCTCTGCTTTTAGATTACATAACAGAAACAACAGGAGTCAGAGCTGTTCACCAAAAATCGGCTTCTGCCAGGGTAGAGCAAAACCGGAGGGCACGCTGACAGCTCCCTTCCTGCGTGGTCAGAACTGGGGGAAGGGAATGAATGTTAGTCAAGTGGTGGGATCAGCTGGAGATGCAGTGACACGATTTAGGAGAGAGTCTGACAGTCGTGAGTTAAAGGGAAGCTTGTATTTGACAGTGACCCCTCCTAACTGTTTGTCTGTTTGTGTTCATGGGAGAAATGTCACATCTGTAATAACTCAAATGAATATGCCTCGTGAAACAGAGCTCTTCCTGCAAGGGAGCATCCAATTAGCATGAGATGTTTGATCTGATTATGCCTCAATATACAAATCTTCTATGAACCAGTGAAGCTACAGCTGGAGAAGACAATACCTATTAAGTCATCCTCCACTGCGTTCAGGACTGCTCCTCGCACTACTTAGTGTTATATAATGTAATCCAAGGGCTGCTTGCATGTCTCCAGGGAGATTATTCCAAATGTTAACACATTTCCTGCTTCGAAAGGTTTTCCCTAATGCGAAATGTAAAATTAACTTTTACTTGTTTAATCCTGTTGGTTCCATGGATCCTGTGCTCCCACCACGGATTAAATAAAACCAAAACTCCTTTCCTTCCCAGTTCTTCTGCCTTCTGTATGTTGGTAAACCAGCAGTGCTCATTCCGTTGGTTTATCTTGTCTCTTAAAGGCATGTCATCATGGGAAACTGTCTAAATCCTTTTTTCTTTTCAATGTTACTTTCCAGCAGCACTGTAGAGAAAGTGAAGTTGTGGATGGGTTTAAAATAGACTAGCCTTATACGGCTTTTAGTCTGTAAAAATATTTTGATATTTTATAAAGATCCTTTTGAGCAATGGAGAAACTGGACTTTTACAGAAAGATAAATGGACAAAAGGCAATATGGAAAGTATTATAGGTAACCAGAGTATGCTTTGCAGGGGTGTTGCAGCAACAACCCAGTAATGTTTTTCATATATACCCTCTATTTAATGGGAGAGTTGTAAGTGTTAAATTTTTTAAAATTCTTGCATATGGAACTCATATACAGAAATATGACCTCTTTTCTTGATGGTATCCCATTTTAATTGTCCGTATTTCTCTTTTCCCAAATGTAATTCCAGGTGGTAAGCTTCATCCAGCGTTTACCTGGTTGCAAAGAACAAGCATCTGTTTTCAGGGAAGAGGTAAGTCAAGTCTGCCCAAATCCTGTGCTGTGCCACTGGCGGGTCTGATGGCAGCAAGGTGGTTTTGTACCCCTGCTACTCTGGAGTTACAGTGCAGAGAGCATGGACATGCTCAGACTTGTCATTAAAGAGCCTGTGGCATTTAGGAGGCAGCTTCAGCATCAAGCTGAATTCCAGCATTGCTAATTGCATTCTGCTGCTTTAAATTTCCCCTGCAGTTCCAGTCACTGAGCTTATGCTTAACATCCTGTCTTGGACTATTGTGCAGTGGGTTTGGCATCGTTATAAAGATGTCCTGTTGGAATGGTGCAATGAAGATCTCATCTGCTTCCTCTAACGAGCACATATGCCTGCTTCTCTTGGTGAGGCTGGCAGTCGTAGGGTTTCCCAGGAATCGCTGGCTTCTGCCATGGGCTGAGGTGAGAGCAGGAGGGGAAGCTTTCCTTGAACAAGCAGTGGTTGGGAAGTCAGAGCATCTCCTGCGTGCAGTGTGTCCTGTCTTTGCTGCCACTTGCTGGGCTGGACTTTGTTCCCTGTTTGTGGTGCGTTCACCGTGGCTTCTGAGAAACCGCAGCTAGCGCAGGATATGGTGGTCCTCTTTCTTAGCACACTTCTTTGCATGGATCATAGACACTTGGGCTCTGTTGAGTGCTTTGGCTTCCAGTTACATTGCAGGTACCACTTGGAGATTCTTTATGAGCCCCTGATAAATTTGCACAGACATACCTCCCCTTCCATCATCACAGGTCTACTGCTTTGATTGTAAGAGCTTGAGGGAAGAGGTTGTACTTTCTCTGTTCGGTGCGGCGCTGAGCGCACCCTCTGTACTGAGGAAGAGCATTGCACATTGTAGCGACTGTAAAGGGCAGGTTCGTAATAGATGACTGCTCCCCAGAGCTGGCTTCCTGTCAGGATGAATCAGGCCGTAGTGCATTTTATGGGATTTATGTATCTGTATTTTGTTTTCCCTTGTTTTAAAAAACATGCACACACACAAAATACAAAGCAAAAGAAATGGAGGCTTGCAGAAAGCACTATTCACAATGTAACAATACAGTGGAATACTCTTTAACTGAATATAGAGGGAATAATGAAATTTATTCAAATGAACCAATCTTTCAGTGTAGCTGAGTGTAAAAGGCGCATCCTGATTTCTAGTGACGGTGTATTCAGAGATGAGAGTTTGGTAGGTAAGATGTAACTAGCAAATCTCCTAATGAATCCAACCATTCACAATGTATTTTATTTCTTCTAGCTGTAATTTAAATGGGTCCTGAACACAGTGATTGCTTTCTGGTTCAGAGAGCAGATAGCCACGTTCTATTTTAATACCTTACTTTCTACAGCCTCAAAGTATGATTCCCTATGCCAAATGAGAGGGGCTTGGGTTGTTTTTCAGGTTTATGCTCAAACCAAATTGTCAGTTTGAAATTAAAACCCTTTTAGCAGTTTGGCTTTGGCCAGAATTCAGGTGTGAGTGACGGGACTGCTGAGCTCCACTCACATTGTCCATTAGCTGTAATCAGGCCTTTGAGTGCTCACCATTTAGGATAAATAAATTCCTTGCAGACTTCTCTTGGCGGGGGGAGAGGGATAAGTTGCTGCTTACATTAGGAGCGAAGAGAACAAATTGTGCACAGAATTTTAAAAACCATCCAAATAAGATGGAACAAAGAAATGAATAATAAAGCACAGGCACTGGTATTGTGCTTGTTTCTAGGTCCAGTTCAGGGAAGGTCTGTTTAAAATAAGCATCTTTGAGGCAATGCAGTGAAAATGAAGCATAGTAATAATACTGGACTCAAAAACATTTTGAAACGTAGGGCTGTTTTCCAGCAGTTTTCTGCTACTCCTGACTCTTTTATTTAATTTAAGCAGCAGTCCATTTGCTTCAAGCTATTTTTAACATGTTCATTGCAGTAGTGTAGACTCTAGGCAGCTTGCAAATAAGATTCGGGGACGTTGGGTGGCCATCTGTGGACTGGGAACACTGCTGTCATTTCCAGTGTACATACTGGGAGGTTGAGTAACTTGCTAACAGTCTCTTGTGTGGTTAGAGAAGGGGAAACTCAATCTCCTGGCTCCCAGCTCTTTGCTTTAATATTATGTTTGTCCAAGTTTATTCAATGTATCCTCTTCGACCAGTCACTGACGTCCAAAAAAGTTCTAGTTAGGAAGACTACAGAAATAGAAGAATTATTATGGGTGAGTTGAGTGTCCAATGTTGTCTGCTGCACTGGTGAACATCAAGTGAGAGGACGAGATGCTGTCAGTCCCTGTAAATGGACTTTAATGGAATAACTTAGGGAGACACATATTGTTTGTCTGTGTCCATTAATCTTTGGCTTCTTCCCTGCAGCATTTGGGGTTTATATTAATTATATTTGTGTTGTCTCTGTGGATGTTCTTGCAAACCTAAGTAAATTTTTAACCTCTTCTTAAAATAATATGTTACGATTTCACTTGCTGCTACCTAGGGCATCCTGTATTTTCACAAGGTAGTATGTTTTTCACTTGCTTACTTTGAATCTCATCGAATATCTCCTTGCTGATGGATTAGGAGAGTGCGTATATAAGTCCAGACAAATTGCATGTCTTTACTATGCCTTGTTTAACATAGCATAAGATCTCTCTTACCATGTGCTAAGCAAGCCCATTTAGTGTCATTGAAAATGATTTCGCAACAGCCTACTGTTTCTCCTTTAAACAGAGACTTCTTGTCTATAGGCATAGTACGTACTAGTCATGAGAGTAGCCAGATGTTCACGTCTCAGGAATTTTTCTCATCTGTAAGGTTTTTAGCAGAGCTGACCAAAAAAAGCAGGAAAAAAGCGTGTTTGGCTTTAAATTTTACCTTGAACAGCTTAACAGGAGTCGAAGAGTCTATGCAATGACAGTATGTAATGAATGCACTAGGAAATGGTGATTTTATGTTTCTAATCATCGTAGATTATTAGAATCAGTGTAATTCTTGGATAGCTGCCTCCTGAAGACTTGCATTCTGGATTTCCTGATCTAATTTCTGGCCACAGTTTGTGAATAGGCTGTAGGATTTTTGACAGTTGTTGGCTTTTTAGCGCAATTATAGTGAATATAAAGTCTAATGAACCAGCATCCTCCTTATGGTCTCTCCATAAGCCTTGCCCACACTAAGGCTTCTGTATTTCTAGAAAAAGAGCTGCAGGATGAGGCCTGAGACCCTTGGAAAGGGCAGCATGCCTGGACACCTCACAGGGGTGTGGGTGCCAGAACTAGGGAGAAATACATGGCTTCAGTCTTCAGAGCTGTGTTTGTACTTTCATTCCTCAGATCTAAGTATGTTGTTTCACTGAACGACCAGAAGTGAGAATCCTGCCTATCCTTTGATGGTAATCTTCATCTTATGTTGTGTTTCCAACCTCTAGCAGATAGATGGTGAGGCCTTCCTGCTCCTGAACCAGAGCGACATAGTTAAAATACTCAGTATCAAGCTGGGTCCTGCCCTGAAGATCTACAACGCCATTCTCATGTTCAAGTCTGCAGAAGACAACTGAGAAGAGCCCTTTGGCAGAGCCCACAAGGAATTGACGGGGAGCAGATCTTCAACTGAGAGCATTACAACGTGCCGAACAGGCAGATTGGGACTCAGATGTATTTTAAGTAGAACTTATTAAAAACATTTTGAGGACATAAAAATCCTGCCACAGTCTGGAATATGGGGCAGCTTCACTTCCAAGAAGAGGATATTATTATATTTTGTAATTGAATTTGGTTTTGATATATCAATCTCTTTTTGAGATCTAGAAGAAACCTCCGGTTATAAGGGGAATCCAGGGTAACATTGGTGGAGCTGCAATAGCAAGAAGGCGGCTATGAGTAAAATGACCGCTGTGTCCAATGATAGTGCCTGAAAGAGAGACTGAGTTATCACCAGCATGTTTAATATATTCTGTATATATAAAAACTCTGAAAAGAGAGTAAGAAAATAGGAAAAAGATGCACTTCAGAGCAATTCACCTGTATCCTTCAATGCTGACCTTTTCAGGACTGATTTTTAAATTCCAATTTCTCCTGCTGATCCTAGTTGTTCTAATACCCTTGGCTATTGGGCTGCTTACACCACAGCAGAAAGGTACCATGGGCAGAGCGTTTCCATCAGTGATGACTTGCATCGTTTCTGGTAACAAGGAAAATGTTCTCATTAGTGCCACCAGACAGTGGGAAGCAAGCCCTGTGTAGATAGGCTTTGGGTAGGCAAAGATCTCTCATAAAGGTGTCTCCCACAGGAGACAAAGATAAATATTCTAGCTGTAATTCTTCCATTCCAATTTTGTGCAACTGCTGTCTGGACCAGGAGCATCTTACGGCAAAATAGCACAATCAGGAGCACGTGGGAGTTTGATGGGTTCATTCTTGTCCTCTCCACTGTCAGCCAAATGCTAGGAATATGAGTAGGGAACCCAGCAGTGGCCAGCATAAATGCAAACAGATTTCCTAGAAACGATTAGCTTTTAATTCTGAACAATTGAAACTCATGAATGCTTAGTGCTTTAGCCTTTTCAGCCTCCAGCTGGCCTTTGGTCTGTTCTACCAAAGAGTCAGTGTGCTGCAGCAGCAGGGCACTGGCTTCTCTGCCTCTCTAGTGGCAAGGCAGGCAGAGCACACAGGGAAGTTTGGCTGGAGGGGAATCAGGGTTTGAACAGACAGCAAAACGAGGTAAGAATTGCGTCTCAAAAGAGAGAGATGATCTGCGTCAGGGAGGAAGCAAAGCTTGTGGCTGTGTTCCTGTGCATGCTGTCTGTGCTCTCCTGGCGGTAGGGGAGCACGAGTATTTTGTGCTGCGCTGGAAGTCAGAGCAGAGTTTTATGAACATGCACCTAAGACTGTAATGTCCTGGGTGGGGGATTTCCACACCGTTACTTCCAGAGCTGTCCTCTTACAATGGAAGTCCTGGGAGAAGTGGTGAGCCTTGCTGGGGCTCTGCTCAGTGTTTCTGTTTGTGCCTGGCAGCATGCTAGCTCATGACTCTTCCTCTGGCCACTCTCCCTGATAGATATTTGGCTGTTGTGGAGTCTAGCTAGAACCGTCTTAGCTAGGGAAGCCTTTTCACCCCTTCATTCCGAGCTGCCAGGCTGAATCCTGTGTGCGTGAGCCCCTCCAAGCACTGTAAGTGTGCGTACACCGTGTTGCCAAAGGCAGGCGTGCCACCAGCCTCAGCCCAGGGTTGCATGAATTTCTCAGGGCATTGCATGGTGAGATGTCATCCATCCGTAGGCACCTCGAACTCCCTCCTGTACTTGCCATCTTTGTCACCAGTGTTGCTCCCGTAGTCCCAGCCCTGCAGCTTCTCCAAGAGCCATCAGGAACTGAGAATGAACACGCTGTCTGTGACTGTGTGGTGACACAAGGAACGCACTTCGTCTTCCTTCCCTAATCACTCCATGTCCTTTGTCCAACCTTCCAGCTGCTGAGAAAGTCCTCGTGACTTGCCTAAAGTAGCAAGTTCCTTAAAATTGTAAATAGAGCAGAATCCACACTGCTGAAGGCATTCAGTCCTGGATTAATATATAGAGCAATTTGTCTCCATACTTTCTATTTTTGTATAAGATGTTAAGGATTTTAAGCCTTCCACAGGGAAGACAGGGGTGGTGGGATATTTAATAGCCAAAACATTAAATATCAGCCAGGCAACTGCAGGAGAGTAATTTAACGCAGTGTTAAGGACTAGACAAGATATGAATTTAATTTATTAAAATACATTTTTAGTATGATAACCAGGATATTCACCAAAGAGTCACATTCCTTTATTCCACTCTGCGCATCCCACGTCTGTGTAAGGACTTGAATTGTAAGTGGCATGTCCTGGACTCTGACACAACTCGCCTTCTAGGCAAAGCAAAATTGTTTCCTGACAACTGGAGCAGAGGATCCGTAGCTGGACTGTTTTGTTCCTGGCTCTCCGCTGACTTGCTAAATAACCCTGAGCCCTTCTTTGCTCCAGTTTCCCCCTCTGTGACACCCAGCCGGGTGGGGTGAGTGCAATTTCTCCTTTCTCTTGGTTCTAGCAAGCAGGTCCTGCCGGATTTTCTGTTTTACCTCCTTCGTTTGGGAAACTGAGTTGGGGGGACAGCAGATTGCCTCCAGCAATAAAACATAATATTATTTCATCTCTTTTACTATATATAGATAGAGGATGAAGAGAATCAGTGAAACAAGCAATGAGATTCTAGTCACTGAAATTATTCAAACAGAAGAGAAATCTTTAATCCTAGAGGCTGCCAAGCCAGCTGGATCAAAGACGAAAATGTGTACTTGGAGTTTGTTCAGTGACAGCAAGAGTAGTGCTTTCAGCAAGGAGGAAGGAGGAACCTTTTTAGGGATAGAAGAAGGAGGAATGTGCTTCTTGTGCCTTTTTTTGTAATCCAATAATTGTCTTCGCAGAGCAAGCAAGAATGTGCACACATCTATTACTGACTCCTTTTCCAAATATAGCTATATTCTAATAAAATCAAGCAACAATAATGCAAGGGCAAAAAGATGTCCAGTGTCTTCACTGGACACGTTTAAAATTCCCTAATATTTACATGACTGAAAAAACATAAACCAGCTCATCTTTTAGCCCTGTAACTTAGGAATTCGTTGGTTGCTGATGCCGTTTCGCTTGTGTCGGGGGGGCCCCCCTTCCCCTGCGTACTATATATAGATAGAGGATGAAGAGAATCAGTGAAACAAGCAATGAGATTCTAGTCACTGAAATTATTCAAACAGAAGAGAAATCTTTAATCCTAGAGGCTGCCAAGCCAGCTGGATCAAAGACGAAAATGTGTACTTGGAGTTTGTTCAGTGACAGCAAGAGTAGTGCTTTCAGCAAGGAGGAAGGAGGAACCTTTTTAGGGATAGAAGAAGGAGGAATGTGCTTCTTGTGCCTTTTTTTGTAATCCAATAATTGTCTTCGCAGAGCAAGCAAGAATGTGCACACATCTATTACTGACTCCTTTTCCAAATATAGCTATATTCTAATAAAATCAAGCAACAATAATGCAAGGGCAAAAAGATGTCCAGTGTCTTCACTGGACACGTTTAAAATTCCCTAATATTTACATGACTGAAAAAACATAAACCAGCTCATCTTTTAGCCCTGTAACTTAGGAATTCGTTGGTTGCTGATGCCGTTTCGCTTGTGTCGGGGAGCCCCACTTTCACGTGCGGCTCTGACTTGTTTCTGCTGCCAGACTCTGCCTGTACAAACTCAGCTCTGCCTTTTCCCAGACCTGATCGAGGCCTGTGTCAAGGCAAGGGGTCTGCAGATGCCTTTGATTGTCTAATGCCTTGTTGTCTAATTTGAAACATGCACTTTGAAGCAGAAAGCCAAAAGTTGTAGCTCTGTGGTGAACAAAGCTGAAACTGGTTAATGCCACCTGGTTTTAGGAGGCTTTCGTTGTCTGCTAAGTGCCAGCAGAAACCGGCTGTTGGCCCAACTGAACCTAGAAGTCACTTAGAAATATAAATATATTACTTAGAAGCAACCCAGAGCTGTGACAGCTTCCTGTGGGCCAGCAGTGCGATTGGGAATTCTCAGTTCTCAATTAAAATGGATCTTATTCCTGGATATGTTTTTGTTCCTGTATCCCTGTTTTTGAAATCCAAAACGATCAGATTTTTCTCCTTTTCTCTTTTTCTCCTCGGTAGAGAGTCCTGTTAAAATTTTTCTCTGCCATCACCAACGATCATCCTTGTTAATCCAGTAGCGGCAAATTTCTGCTCTGGGTAATGAATCGCATTAAAGTTGGACGGAAGCGTTCCCCAATGCTGATAGCAAAACTCTACAACCAAAGGAAAAAAAAAAAGCCACATTCAGCCCAGGGGATAAGCTAGTTCAGCTGTAGAAGATTTCCTGCCTGCTACTTTCATGCCCTGCTTAGGGATTTATACCACGGAAAGCTTTACTGTTCTTGACATCCTCTCCATCATGTGATGAGCTAGCTTATTTTTGAAATTCCTATTACTTGAACTGGAAACACGTGCAGGGGAAGGGAGCGTGCGCCCGTTGTCTCGGTTCAGCCTCTGAAATGTTTGCCTGTTTTAAACCAAACAAATACTTGAGCTTTCTGACACTAGCCATGACGTTGCACTCCACTGATGCTCTCTTCTGGATATGTGAATAAAATTAATATAAGTTCAAACCTGCCTCGTTCTTGCCGTGTTTGGGTCTGACCCCGGCACGTGCTCGCAGGGAAGCTGGGCTGGCTCGCTGCCCTGAAGGGCTGTCACTGGGGTGGGTTGGTCATCACGGAGGTTTGGCCCCTTGTTTTCCTCCCCCTAAACCTGGCAATCAAAATGCAGGCAGCATTTTCATCTCTTATCTCTTTTGTCAGGCAGAGCAAAGCCGTACATTTGAGCTCGCCTTGGTTTGTATGCAGGACAGCATCAGCCTTGGCCAGCATTGTCTGTTGAGGCTGTGCCTGATCCCCGGTTCCTTCTGTCCTCTACTGCTGACAGAATATTTTAATCCCTCATGGTTTCCTATTGCAGACCATCCCAGGACTCTGCCATCTTCCCAAAGCAGCTTCAAGATTTGAGTGTTTAACTAAAACTAGCAAGAACTTAGCAGTATGAATCAATGTTAAAACTCTACATTTTGGGGTCTCTGTGTCTGTTTTATCTTCCTTAATGCCCTGTTGGG